TATAACTTTTAGAAGATTCCTAGCTGCTAAAGCATTCCCAGTTTCTTTAACTAACCTTCCTGTGTCAGCAGAAGCTTGAAGTATGGAAGCAAAACCGGCAGTCAGCCCAACCATATCTTAACCACACCTTAGAGTTCATTGTGGGAATCCAGCCCTAGTCTTGAAATGTGGTGGGAAGCAGGCTGGCCTTGAGCCACAGGGTGGTGATCTGTTTGGACATGGCACCTAAGGGGACAGGGTCCTGGGGTTTCCCGATCACAGAGTTATGAGTGTTGCGTGAACCTGCCCAAGTCAGACAAAATACCAGACTTTAGAAAAGGTGAGAACTGGGAGAATAGAAGCAGCAAGAAGGCGATGAAAGAGAGAACAGAAGATTTAAAAAAAGTTATCTGTGAGGAAAGCTAACAGAATAGATGCAAGAATGAAGGACAACGCCAGAAATTGCGATCGAGCTTTATTCATTTCTGAAATGCACTCCCACGTATGTCTACTCAGGGGCACTTACTTCAGGTCAACGTACATTGGACTGCAGCCGTATTTATTACACACACATGGGCTTTCTCAAAATTCAGAGGGAAGAATCCTAAAGTTTCAAATGTTCACTCCTGGAACGTTAAGCCTTTCTTCTGAAGTGTGCTTCCAGATAATAACTGTGAAGAACTATTTCAAGGATGCTGTGGTGACTTTTTCACCACGGTGAATGTCCAAGACACAAAGCAAACCTTTCTTCCCCCAGGAAAACAGGAGCTGCGGCCTGTATTTCTTCAAACTTTAAACAAGTAAACAGTATTCATAACTCATAAAAATGAGTAAACAGTATTCATAATTCTTTTAACAACAACATTTTTTAAAAAAAAAATAGGAGCTTCTGCCACTAAATCACGTTTTGCAAATATCCTTCTGATTTTCTTTCTCAACAGACATCTCCAACCCCCAGATGTGGTGGTCAGCTACTCCTACAATCTCAGCAATAGGCCTTGGTTGTTCCTGGTGAAGCGTCTTTGTGTTCCTACCATGAAATAAATAAGACACATTTTCTGGAAGGAAACACTTTATTTTGGATGTGTTTTTACAGGAGAACAGCTGCCGGAATCCACTTGGTGGGTGCAAGAGCTCAGCCAAGCAAGGTGATGGTGCGAAGCCAAGGGGGCTCTGGATGCTCTTCTCCTTCCAGCAACGGAAGTGGATTTCAAGCTGGTAGATGTTTGCCATAACTTTGGTTCCTTATCCTGATGAAGCCATTTTCACCCCAGTCTGAAATAAGGTTGCCTGGGGCATCTGTCTGTGAGCAATGAGGGTTTGCTTCCCTGTGATCATGAAGAGGATTGGGACCCAGCTGGCAGCCATGTTCCTAAGCCATCAGAAAAAATGTATTTGCCTGCTGATGGAGCTTGGGCCTGGAGCAAGGTACCAATGCTATTTTAAACGGTGTACTTATAAAAGTAGATACAGAAATCTGAGAAAGTGACTGATTTAGGGCAAACGAAAAGTAGGGCTCAGGTGGCTAACAGGTCAGGAGCTGGGTGGTGTGGATTATACCAGAAGGATGCTGGTCACGGACGCTTTATCTGGGCCATGGCCATGGCAGGATGGAGCCCCTGGCTTCCTTAGATGGGCCTATTCCAGTAATAAGGCCCAGACCATGGTGTGTACCTGGTCTGGAGATTGGGGGCAAACTTTCGCCAGGGCAGCCTGTAAATTACACTAGGTCCCTTGCCCCACCCTAGGAAGGCAGTAGTGGGAAATGGCTGTGCAGCTGTGATTGGAGGGAAGGAGAAGGGTGCAAATGTCCTCTTTGGTCCCCTATACCAAGGCCAGGTGGTACGTTTTGAAGCTGGTCTCCACTGGGCAGTTCGAAGGGTGTACCGTGTCTTTGCTTCGGGGAAATACCCAATTAAGACCCCATTTACCTTTTTGTAAATGGGATTGTAATAATAATATCCGG